TCCTGTCAGGCAATTAGCTACAAGAAAATTGTATCATTGTAGTATAGTACTAAAAAATAATTAGTGAGAAATTAGCCAAATGTGAGAAAAGTTGGAAAAAAGTGATGTCATTCTGCTAGATGGCACTTCATACTGCATGGTGAATTTTTTGAAACATTAGTATTTTGTATTGTGTTCATGGTTACTTAGGCCTAACTATATTAGTAAAATTTTTATTCATATAAAAGACTGATTTAATAGAATTTAACATATACTGTATATAAAAGTCAAAATATGTATATATGGTACTTATGTATGTTAGGTAAAGGGTTCTATATCATTCAACACAGCTACATAAATTTCGCACAAATATTTTTTGTCACCCTAGAAAAAAATACTATGGGAACCTCACTCCAGCCACTCCTAAAGCCCTCTTAAGTCCAAGCAATTGTTTTGAGTTTTGCAGTTTTATTATTGCAAATACAGTCGACCCCCCTATAAGACAGTAGATACGTTCCATTCTTTAGGAATCTGATTTCTTATGAGTCCTTCCAATCACAGCCCGACATGTGTCAAGTTTACAGACTACGGCTGTTTGAAAGGTTTTCTTCCATAAAATTAATCGATTCTAGACTAATCCGACTCAACATTTCCAAAATACGTATATTTTTTTTGGAAATAATCCATATAAACTACGCTATAAACAAAAAATTGTAGGATTACTTACCGAGTGTGCACCATTCNGAGTATATTAAACAACTTCCCAAAGTTTCACGCCAACCGGATAAACGGTGTGGTAATGCATGAATGACACACACACACACAGACAGACAACCATACATTCATTTTTATATATATAGATTTTAATCGCCGTTGAATAAGGAATGTTTCTTTCACACGAAATGTATAAAATTACAGTACTGTATTAGACTTACGGTAGCTAATTTACATACTGTACAGACGATAGTTCGCCTAAACTCTTTGTAGCGTAGCGCTAGACGGCGGAGAGCATATATACATAATTATAATAAAGTTACAATAAATTAAGTTAATATATAATTATATGTACAGTACCTAATTTATATATAATACTGTACAGACGATAGTAATCTCTCCATAGCGTGGCGCTTGACGGCGCGGAAAGTAGTTCGGCTGCCTGATGACGTTTTACGTAATTATAGGAGTTTTTTTACCGTTTTTTACGGATACCATCGTAATTTTTTCGCTGTCTTATAGGAATCGTAATTATAGGAACCCGTTTTATAGGGGGTCTACTGTATTCAGGTCAATAAATGCCATTTTAGTTACTAAGACCATTGTTTTTATTGTGGCTGTCTGCCATGTTTGTTTTGTAATTGTATATAGAATAGGAACTCCTTTCTTCTTTCCTGTAATTCTTATTTCTTCTGTCTTTAACCCTTTTCTGTCACATGACTGGAGCTTTACTGTTTGCGGATCCTCATTGGCCAGTGTACAAAGGGAAAAGAAGGGGTCCTGCTGAAAGTGGACCTGGGAAAACCAGGAGTTGACGAGAGTCACTTTTTGAGTTTGCCACTGATGAGTTAGGTGGTCAGGTGAGAGACTGAGTTACAAGCTACAAGAAGCCAGTCCTAGGAAGACATGAGAGAGAGGGTAAGTATATACCACATGCTGATAGTGACTTGGAACTAAGTAGCAAGCCCTTCTCTACAAGCTCAATGACCTGCCTTGGCACATATTTAATGGTAACTGGTTGTTATTACCCTGGATGTGAACAGATTGGATGTTCACCATCCACAAAGTGATCATAGTCGACATTACCCCAGTATCAGGACCCTCCGATCTAAGCTACCGATAGACTATCCAACCATCCTTCATCCTTTCTTTTCTCTTTCTAGTTGTAAGTAGTAATGTATTAGGTTTAAGTTGAATTGTAATTGTCTTAGTTTTAAGCAGAATTGTATATAAATTAATTTTTGCAGGAAGTTTGAGTGAGTGGGGGGACATAGTACATATATACAGTGGAACCTCAGTATACGACCTTAATCCGTTCCTGATGTTTGGACTTATACCGAATAGGACGTATACCAAACCAACCTTTCCCATAAGAAGTAATGCAAAAATGATTAATCTGTTCTCGTGAAAAAACCGTCTTGATATGGTATATTAATGGGGTTGTAAGATGATTTAAACACTGAGCACATTAATAAAAAAATAAATTTTATTGTAGATTTTTAAAGTTATTACAGTATATTGTATTATATTATTTAAATCACTAAATCTAAATCAAATCAAATTAAACTCTCCTTAACACTAAAATACAAAAACAAAAAATTTTCTATTCTATGGAAGAAGAGTCCCATTCTGGTCTTTTTACTTTTCCACCTGTCTCTTTTCACTAGGATCAGCAACTTGTATTAAAAATCTGTCCAAAGAACTTTGTGTCTGTCTTCTCCTCAGGATGTCTCTAAAGTGTGACATTGTCTGATCTTCCCAAGCGATGCTATTTCGATTTGTTTGAACTTTGTTAGGGTGGTATTTTTCTGCAAAATTTTTCACATCCATCCATTTTGCAAGATTTCTTTGATTAATGAAGAAGGAGCTTCTTCTATCTCTTCCTCCTCTGAGTCAGAAGAGAGTCTATTCATTTTAGTCTGATGCTCATCGTTCTCCAGTTCCTGTAACTCCTCAGTGGTCAGTTCTTGATTGTGTTCTTTTATTAATTCTTCCACATCATCATCACATACATCCAGTTCCATGGATCTGGCCAGAGAAACAATATCCTCCACTATAGAGGCCCTAGATTCGACGTCCCTTTCGGTTACTGCTTGTGGCCACAAATTTCTCCAAGCGGAGTTCATTGTTCTGTGGGAAACCTCCTGCCAAGCTTTGTCAATGAGCGATATAGAATGTACGATATTAAAGTGATTTTTNCTCAACAATCTCTTTTTTTCAGTTCCATTGTGATTCTAGTCATTTTTTTAGTTTTCTGTTGCTTTCCATTTGCCTTTTTGCGATTCATGATTAATAAAAATAATAAAATTTTACTTACAAATTAAAATCAGAAGAAATTTAACAAAGTTATAAACCGTGGCACCGCGAACGTCTGGTCTGGTCTAATACTGTACACCGATTGTTCTACTTATTCATAGATTGTGCATGTAAAGTACTGAACGTATTGGCCTTTTAACAGAAAGGAAACAAAGGAAGCACTGACTTTGTTAATTGGACACATGCGGTCGGGCAATATAAAACAAGGTGTTGATTGTAAACAGAGGGAAAACAAAGGAAGCGCTGACTTTGTTAATTGGACATGTGCGGTTGTGCAATATACCACAAGGTGTTGATTGTAAACAGAGGGGAAACAAAGGAAGTGCCGACTTTGACGATAGACCATTTGCCATATGGTAAACTACTAAAAAACGTAAACAAGTGACGGACATTACTGTAAGCTTGATTCTCATCGAATGACGGCGGACCCGAGTGTAAGCTGTTCGGGCAAGAAAAGGTTGTGATTGGTCAGAAGTCCAGTCCAAAAATACCCTTAAATTGTGGAGCAAATGAGAGAGGGAAGAGAGAAGGACAAGAGACTGGTACACGGTAGTCTCAGGCACTTGGGAAGCTCGCTGAGCTTAGAAAGAGCATTCTTTTCTGGTAACTATCTCAGGGACGGGTAAGTGCGGAGACTGGATGGACCATGCAGTTGAGCCAACTCCACAAGCTGACTGAGGCCTCTCCAAAGTTTAATAGTTCCCAAAAGCCAATCTAGTACGTGAGGCACCACGCTTTGTCATCCTGTATATACTGTACTATGTTTTCGAACTTGTACACTACATATAGAATCTATAAATAAACTGTAAATATTGTATAACTTGAGTGTGGAGGTGTGCTTTCCATTGAACTGGAATCACTATATCGAATTGTGATACACACGGAAACCAACTCCATGAGACGGAGTTTGGGAAAGAACTTCACTAGATCTTCACTGTGCGTATAATTGAATTAAGTCGTATACCGAAAAAATGTCGTATACCGAGCAAAATTTGTTTCGTCAAAACAGGACGTATTCCGAATTGGACATATTCTAAAGCGAACGTATACCGAGGTTCCACTGTACTTTTGTTCTTTGTAATGGGTAGTCCAACCTCTGTTCCCTCATTTTGATCAGTAAAAATGTGATTTGAATGTTATTTTCATTGTCTTATTGTCATGTGTTTCCCATCCTTTCATATTATCACTCTCTCCCAACCAGACCTTACCAAGGATTGGTAAGGTCTGGTTGGGAGAGAGTCAAAAGCCCAAAAGCCCAAGCAATGCTGGGCATATGCAGCCCTCAAAAGTCCAAAAAGTCAACCCTCAAAAGCCCAAGCAATGCTGGGCATATGCAGCCCTCAAAAGTCCAAAAAGTCAACCCTCAAAAGCCCAAGCAATGCTGGGCATATGCAGCCAGTAAACGAATAAATCTGTGAGCCAATATTAATTCACACACTGTTTTCATAGAAAACATCTTACAACGTGCAATTCGAAATTGAAATTTATTCTTAATTGTCACGTACATAATTCATACTAATAAGTTTTAATATTCAATCAATCCCCAAAAATACCTTATCAATTCCTGAAGGGGTCAATATTGATGACTTTACAGTAATGCCTATATTCTAAATGTATTGGTGGTGCTAATTTGATCTAATTCCAGCTTAAAACCATACTGTATATATTTTTGTTCATTTGATCTAAACATACATAAAAATCAAGTTTCCTCTTCTATATAACAACAATGTTATCAATAAATGATAAACAACATATAATTTCATATATTTCTGTCTTTTCATTCTATTTTTTATAGTACTGTTGTCACACAAAATGTTTGAGTTTCCTTCTCCCTTGTATGTATGGTACCATTGTAATTTATCATCAGGTTTGAAGAAGAATGATGAATAGTGGGTAAAGCACGCACACTAATTCTAATAATTCTAATATTTTATTGATATCACATTAAAACATATTTCAAAAAATAATTATTTAAGAAAAATTACTATTACCTGGTAATTTGAATAGCAGCTTTCATCTTTATTTTCTCTGGTATTAAAATCTTTTACTTCTTTTGTGAATGCAACTTCTTTTGCTAAAACAAATATATATATGTTTTAGTTTTATGTTTCCATTAATAGTTTTCTACTTCAACATTTAAAATTAAACAAGTTGAAAAAATATCTGTCATTATAATATAAACAGAATAAACTGCTTATAACTTTTCAAGAATAGACATGTTTTTTAAGGTAGTCACAAACATCACTGAAACAAAATTGGATAAAGAGTATGTACATATAGTAAAATAAAACACTTAATGATTTTTACACTCAAGAACTTTAAGTTAGAATAAATTCAAAATTATCAAGTCTAAATTGTCAATTATTATTTATATTTTAAATATTTCATAAATTTTATTAATAAAAAAACAATAATTTATATGAAATAAATTGTAAAAAGTGAAATTATTTTTAAATATACAGTACTTCCAAATTTTGTCTGAAAAAACTGATTATGCTAGGAATAAAAAAATAATGTTAATTGTGGTAAACAAAACTTTTGTTTCATTCAAAATTGGCATAAAATTCCATCTATAACTAATTTAGCAAAAGTAATTCTGTTTTTAAATTTGAAAACTTGATTTTTTATGCTCAATTAACAGATTTCTCAACAATTTTTCATCATCATCTATACAATATAACATTTTTTAAAAGGAATTTTAGAAATTTATCATATTTTCTGCCAAACATACTGGAACTCTATCATTGATTCAAAGCCTACACAGCACCAATAATAAACTTATTAGCAATTTAATAGAATATTTATTAATAATTTTTGATAATTTGTATGCTAATTTCCTTAAAATAATTAAGAAATCTAAAAAAATTTTTTAAAAGGAATATTCAGAACATAAATATATTTTGTTTCTTTTTTGACTAAGAAAATAAATTTAGTTTCTTTGAAACCACTGTAATTTATTAACAACATAACAGTAGACAAACAAATTCTTACTGGAACTAATTAATTTAAAAATAAACAAACACCTTTCACTAGTTCAGCACAACATTTAATATGTTGTGCTGGACTAGTGAAAGGTGTTTGTTTATTTTTATATAACACTAGACTGACTGGACTAAACTTTATACCTAAAAATGGCTGTAAGGGGTCATTTCATCATTTTGCAATTAACTTCTTGTATTTAAGATTACAATTAAATTTTTTACCAAACTCTCAGTTCTTTGGTTTTTAATAGTATAAAGTCACTTACTGAAAAACTTTAACAATAATAAGAAAGTCATGTTTTTGTATACATACTGTATACAAAATTGAATTTTAGCTATATTTTTGTTAGATACAAGTTTATTTAAACTGGTATCTAACAAAAACGCAAAATATAAATGAATTATCGTCTTCAAGATTTCAACAGTTTGTTTAATTAAGTGTAACTGTCCAAGCATACTATGGTTTTTTCTATTTATCCTGTGCACTTCCACATGTGGGTTTCAAGAACTAGGAACAAACGTGATCTGTACTATTTCTCCTGCAGTGTCCAATGAAGCATTTCCTGAGATTATGCTGATTTTTGTCAATAGGCACAGTGGTGACCTGCCTCTTGAAAGACCACTCAATGAAAAGACTTTGCAAAGCTCTTTCACTAATTTTAAAATGAAGTCAAAGCATTTGATCATTTTCCTTGTTATGGCTTTGTTGAATGTCAAGACATTTATAGTAGCCAAGTCAAGAACGCTATAAAATACCTGGACCAACAATTTTCTTGATCTTGTTTTGGTAGAATATTTTTGAGCTTTTTGATCAAGAATGAATGCCTCATTTTTGAAGGAGTTGTAAAAAGCTAGTTTCAGAAATTTTCCTCTGGTTGTTGTTCCCATTGAAATGAAATGTACTAATCACATGTAATGTAATAGAAATGTGATTTCTATTTAGTTTGAATTGGTACACTAAGTTTACTAATGCAAACCCCACTCCTCACTGTGATTAAGTTTGGTGCTTAATGATAGGCCTAGTTAACTAGTAGTTACAACTAGCATATGTTTTTACTAGTTAAAAAAATAATTAAATTAATAGTTTATTTTTAACTCTCTCTCTCCTTCTCAGCAATATTAATTATAATATATGAACACACCTGAATTATATTTGCCGAGCTTTTTCTCTTTATTCAAACGTTTTCAGCATATTTGGATAGGCCATCCTCAGGTTTTCATTTATCATTCCAAACTGGAACCATTCATTCGAACTTTATTTTGATTGGAATTTTTGAAATAAGTTAACAACTTTTTGTATATTACATAAATAAACAAAATAAATAAAAATAAAATATGTCACTAAACGTGCTACATATTATCAAAAATTAAATAACAAATTTTACATGTGTCTAAATTATAATATAATAACTTCTTATAACTTCCAGTTCCTATTTTATGGATTACTAGCAGACCCCGCCACGCGTTGTTGTGAGTCAAAATGTATCTATTATAAATGTATAACACTTCCCCAGTGGGGGAAAATTTTTCAAAAAATTTTTTCTTAGTGTGCATTCTGTTGACGTACCCTATTAAAATGCAAAAACCCGCATCTAAAATAGTATAATAGAAGCCAATTTTTTCAGAGTAAGCCTTAATCCTGTCTCTCTCCCCCGCGGGGAGAATATCAAAAAATCCCTTCTTAGTGTACATTCTGTTGACGTATCCTATTAAAATGCAATCAAAAACGCAAAAA